GGTAGCACACCGTGCAGGAGGGCGGAGGAGGGAGGTCGATGGGTCGACAATGACGATCGAGAGTATCGAGGCCGACAGCCCAGAGGGTCGCCGCCGGGGTCGGCCGGGTCGACGTGAGTAGGGCTTTACTATCCTCCTCCCACCTCTCCCCCGCCGCCCCCTCCGGCCCCGGCCGACAGCTGCTGCGCTGGCGTAAAAACGACACTACACTGCCGAGGAGGCTGGAGGTGGGCGGGGAAAAGGGGGGGGGGGTGCTCCGCTCTGCTCGATATAGGAGCCGAGCACACCTACAAGCCAGTCAGCAGCCAGCCTCCACCTACACAGACGGCTCGCCCGGCCCCGCCCCCCTGAGGTGGTATGTGGAATGGCTTCTTGCAAAATCAGGCCTATTCCAGCGGCGGCCGCCCGCCTGGGGGGCCCCGGGCCGCTGGGCCGCCCGCACCCGCCATCGGCCACTATCGAAATACCCACCGCGACACTCGGGGCGCTGATGTCTGCCCGGCCGAGGTTGAAGCCTTGAGGGGGCGACGGGCAGCGACCAACACTGTATCACTCCAGCGAACTAAAGTACTCTCTCTCCCTCCTCGTCTCTCTCGCTCTCTCCCCATCTCTCTTCTCGGGTGCATCAGTGCAGCGCGCGGTGCGGAGGAGCGGCGGCGGCGGCAGCAGCGAGCGCCTACCGAGGCGAGACAGCAGCCAGCAAACTGATCCGCCAACGATACGGCGCGAAAAACAAAAGCGGGTGCGAAGTGAAGCAGCTCGCTGCTCGATAGCATCTCGTGCCCTTCCCTGCTCCACCCTTCCCCGGCCGCGCGCTCCGGCTCCACGAGCTCGAGCTCCTTTTGCCGATTTCCAAAGCATGTTTAATGTATCTCAGATGCAGCAGCAGCAGCAGAAGAAGAATAAGAAGAGCGCTGGGCCCCGCGTCCCTTCGCTTCCCGGGGCGAGAATGGACGACACACACACGGTTTGACTGAACGGGCGGGTCGGGCCGGGCCGGGCAAGCACCACAAGCAGCGCAGGAGGAGCAGAGGGCCCCGCGCTGTTGCCACGATGTGGCGCAGGCTCCTCACGCCTGGCCTGCCTGAGCTGGGCCGGCCGGCCGGCGGGGGCCTTCTCCTCCTCCACCACCACCTCCTCCTCCTCTTCGGCGGGCAGAGCATCCCAGCAGCAGAGCAGGACCTGCCGAGCCGGGCCGGCCGCGCCAGCGCAGCGCCCATAGCCGAGCCGAGGAGTTTCGCTGCAAAATCGTAAACGCGACGCGCTGCTCCACCGCGCATCTCTCAAATCTCAGGAGGATGAGGAGGAGGAGAAGGAGGAGGTGCTGGAGCTGGTGCATATCACGCGCAGTAAACCCGAGCGCCCATTAAATTGTACCGCGCCACGCCACGCCGCGCCACGCTGAGCTATAGAGCGTGATGACAGCGCGCCGGCCGCGGCCGTCAGCCGCGCTGAGTTGGCTGCTGATCCCCGGGGCCCATATGTGTGCGGCTCGCCCGCCATGCATGCGTTCCCAATGAAAACAAAAGCCCGCCCCGCCCCGCCACCCGTCCGCTGCTGCTCGGGTGGCATTTCCGCCTCTGTCACTGACTGCATGGCATGGGCATGGTGGTGGGGCCGGTGGCCCGCGAATGGCCCGCAAATGGCCCCGGCAGCCGGCAGGCAGGCCAGCGCAGCACAGCGCGCCCTGCGCCCCAGCGGACAACATGACCCGGCTGTTGGACTATACACACACAGTGTCCCGGGGCTCGCTCAGCTCGGGGGATTAGGCAGCGGCCAGGCACAGCAGCTGCAGCACGACCGCTGTAACGTCATCGTATCAGACGGTCCCGCCCGGCCCCGCCCCGCCCCGCCCGGCGGCGCGCCCACCCCCCGCGGGGCACAAACCGGTCCAGGAATATAAAGTGTTCGGTGTTGCAAGCAGCGCGGCGGGGCGGGCGCGGGGCGACGGCCAGCGGGCGCTATGGCCCGCGCGGGTCAGCCTCCTAGCGGTGTCGCCGCGAGAGATCAACAAGAACAGCCATGGGGCTGCCGCTGCCGCGGGCTGGGCTGGGCTGGGCAGGGCTGGGCCGCCGCCGTCGTCGTGTGTCGTCCCCTCCGCGGCCTTGTCCGCCCCGCTGCGCTCCGCCGCTCCTATGGTCCGGCCGCGCGCGGCCCCCACGTACGGTACGGCCGAGCCTGTATGACCCCGTAGGGGGGGATCCTGGGGGGCGCCGCCGCCGCCGCCGCGTACCCTTGGGCTACATGCTCAGGTGACATCACGCGCTCCAAACCGCGAGGGCCGGGCCGGGCTGGGCCTCAAGGGGAGGGCAAGCCACCTTAATTAAGGATGTATCCTTCTGACAGCCAGCGGAGCGTGGCGCGACAAAAGAGACGCCGCCGCCGTGTATTCGATCCGCGACGTCGTCGACAACAGCGCACCTTGTCCGCAGCCTGTCGCGTCGTCGCGACGTTTCCAAGGAAACACACCTAGGCGGGATCTTTGTCTGGCTCACAGGGAAGGCCCAGAGCACCAGCCACGCCTGGCCCCGCCCCGCGACGCGGCGACCTTCGGGAAAAACGAACGGCGCGAAGGCGCGGGGCGACCGGGAAAGCGACACCAACGAAACATATGAAGCAGATCACAATGGAGCGATAAGCGTTACCCCGCGGGGGCGGAGGCGGGGAGGACGCCCGGCGCATTAAGCTCCACTCGATACACGAGCAAATATAAATGCATTTGCAGCGCGCGGCGCGGCGGCGCGGCCATTCGTCATCACGAGAACGTAACGCCCCAAACGATTAGCATAAGCAGTTGGGCGGCGCATGCGCGCTGGCCCGGCGCACGCACACGCACGCACGCACACACACACACACACACACACACCTACACACACACACGTGTACTCACACGGATACATGTGTGCGCGATAGTGTGCGACATTTTCCCACCGCTCCGCGCGCCGCCTGACCCACATCGCGGCGCGGGCGACTGCCTCTGTGTGTGTGTGTGTGTGTGTGTGTGTGAGTAAGGCACTGCAAATGAGAATAAAACCGCCCTGCTGTTGTAGTTCGCACATGCCGCGTGCCGTACCGATACCTACACGGGCGCCTTTCGCATCCCACACACGCAGGAGCAGTTCTCCAGCAGCAACCCGCCCGCCCAGGTTCACTTTACTTATCCGGACCAAATGAGGGGCAAAACAAAAGTAATAAAAAACCAACACACCTGCGGGGCGGGGCGGGCGGCATGGGCGAAAACACGACGAAAGAAACCATTAAAAACACGAGCTCTAAAAGAAACAGTTGCGCGAGCTATCCTTTCCGAAACGAAAAATTAAACGAACAAACCCGAAAGGGGGCCTTAACGCTCGACGACTTTAACGAGCGCTAATTCCGGGGTGTCCTTTCTAATTTCTTTTTCAGAGGACCATCGGGACCCGCCTTTAAATGATTCTCCGAGGGGCGTAACCCCTTCCCTGCTCCTACCTCCTTCCCTCCCTCCCCGCCATGCTCCTGGCCCCGCCCCTGGCCCCGCCCCGACTCGGTTTGCTCGGGAGAAGCAGGTTACACCTTTACTTCTTCCATTCCGCTCCAAGCCATGCGTGAGACGGAGCGGGCTGCCGTGGCGTGGCGCGGCGCGGCGGCGGTCTGGGCCTTATGACCTCCCCTTCCCCCTCCTCATCAATCTGGACTGACACCTGAATGCCCCCTCAGTCCACGAGGAGTCGAAGAGTAGGAAGACAGTGAGGGGGGAGAGAGGGAGAGGAGGTGAAGGGGTAAGGGGGGAGAGAGGGAGAGGAGGTGAAGGGGTAAGGAGGTCGTGGAGAGCGGAGGAGGGAAAGAGGGAAGGAGGGTCCTCGGAGACGCGATACCCATTACTCAATACGAAATGCAATTAAGCGATCGCTTTATCTCGCGACGCCCCGGCCACGGCTCCGAGGGGATTTATAAGCTCTTGCAGTGCGCTCGATATGGTTTTTAATTGTGCAAGGTATACCACCGCGGGGCCTCCAGCGGCGCTGGGCGGCTGACCTGGAGCGGCTGGTGGACAGGGAGAGAGACCCCGGCGAGGACTACTACACCTCCAGGACGGGACCGTGGACCGCGCCGCCCACACGAGGCCACGCCCCCTAGCCTCCAGGTCTGGAGTAGAAAGCCTCACACTAGAGAAGTCCTGGAGCAGGCAAAGCGCGCGCACGCGGGGCAGGGCAGCAGCGGGCTGGCTAAGGGGGAAGCGGGGTGTTACTTGTTGCACGCCCGCCGTCCAACTCGAAAACGTTAGGAGGCATCAGATGCAGCGCCACCTCACCACGCCAGCCGCCAGCCGCAGTAAAGCAGTGAACGGCCTCCTTTTACAACAAAGCGTTTCGTACGGACGCAGGTTAGGTACCCTCGGGTACCTTGCGCGAGCGGCTGCGGCAGGGCCGCTGGGGGCCGTAACCAGCTCAAACGAGCGACTACTACCGCCATGGGGCAGGCCTGCACTGCCGCTAATGCCTTGCGGGCATTTTCACCTCGTCTTAGGACGACTGCTACTACGGCTGACATTCAGCAACAAAATGTCGCTCCATTCTCTGCCTGTCTAAGCTTTCCGCAGCAGCAGCAGCTGAATAAAACCGACGCGATTTCGCCGTCGTCTGGTCAGTAATCCTCTCGCGACCGGACAGATCTACATTCGGATCGAGTTTCTCGCGTCGGGCCGCGCAGGACAGGCGGGGCGGGCTGACGTCTCGTTCCTCGTGCCTCTGGCCGTCACTCGCCACTCGCCGATAAGGCACCTCAGCAGACAGGTCAACAGGCTTTGGTCAAACACAACGCCAATGAGGTGGCGTAGCGTAGCGGTGGGCGGCTATTGTGACGGCCGCGATGGACTTTGGAAGGAAAGTGCTGACACGGGCGAGGCGGAGCGTGGCGGGGGATTAGGGACGCTGTTATTGTTTGATCGGACTGTACCTCGCGGGGCCGGCGGGGCCCTGGCCAGCGGCCGCGCGCTGATAATGGAGAAAGTATCCGATCACTCACCTTCTCCTGGAGGCTGGCACAAAGGCGAAGGGCAGGCGTAGTCCGGGTGCGGCGAAGCGATGGTGTCCAGGGGGCGGCTGCGGGGGCGGGGACAGCTGTGGGTGCTGCGGGGGCGGGGCCCCGTGCGGGGCGGCGACTAGAGGCGGGGGTCCGCCGAGGGGCATGCTGGCCACGGGGGCGGCCAGGATGTGCGGGGGCAATCCGAGAGGCAGGGTGGAGTAGGGCGGCGGCAGGTGGGAGTGCAGCAGGTCCGGGACCTGCACGGCCTCCCCCGGCACGGCGCCCAGCCCCGGCCCCAGCACGGCGGTCTGCGGGGGCGCGCCGTGGGGGTGCGGGTGGGGGTGGCGCGGCTGCAGGCGCCGCAGGTGGCGTCGCTCCCGACGCTCCCGGCGCCGCTCTCGGCGCCCCTCCGCCTCCAGGTCATCCGTCTGGGCCTCCGTGGACGCGTAGGTCCGCGGCCCGGACGATGCCGGCGGCGGCGGGGGCGGCACCCTCGGCGAGGCGGGTGTCACGGCGGCGGCGGCGCGGGGCCGCGGGCGCGGCGTCGGGGATGACGCGTGAATGTGCACGTTGGACACATTGTTAAGGCACGGGATGGTCGGCACCGCGGACACCGACGGCGATGGCACACACACACTAGTAGCACTGCTCGCACTGCTCACTGCACTGGTAACCACTCCACTGACGGTGACACTGCTCACACCACTGCTGGGCACTTGCACGACACACGGCGACACATCCTGCGGCACTGACACGTTGACGAGCATGTTGGGCCCGGGCCGACGATGCCCATAGCTGGCGCTGCACGCAGAGCCTGGCGACGCGGGCGTGAGGGTCCGCCTGCCAGCGCGTCCGGTCTCCGACTGACGGCTGCGCGGTGGAGGGGCCACACTGGCGACGGCTGCGGCTGCGGCGGCAGCGGCTGTAGCGGCGGCGGGCGGCGAGAGCGAGGCCCTGGGCGAGCCTAGCGCGGCTGGTGGAGCTCCTCGCAAGCTGCTGGCGGCTCGCGGCGGCTGAGTCGCTGGTGTTCCAATCCACGGCGTTTTGAGGTCAGTGACCAGGCGGGGGGAAGCCTGATGTCGCTGCCTCCGAGCGCTGTGGTGGTGGTGATGGTGGTGGTGCTGGTGCTGGTGCTGGTGACCGGGGGTGACGCGGGGGGCGGTCCACCCATCGGCCGCGCTGCTACCCCCGGACGTGGAGGCGGTGAGCAGACCGCGCAGCGAGGACGCCGACGTCTCCCTCAGTGGCACGGGGGTGGGCGACGACGGTGACGTGTCGCTCATCGAAGAGCAGTCCGACGAGGAGTCCGACGGGCTATGGTGCAACGCGCAGCGGCAGGGACAGCGACAGCCTTCCCCGCCCCCGCGCGTCGACAGCTTCGCGCCACCCAGTCCGGGTCGCGGGTACAGCCACAGGCTGACGTCGGCGTCGTCCGCGTATTGGTACATGGGGGTGTCCTTAGGGTCCCTGCAGTCGTACGGCTCCCAGAGCAGCGACTGCAGCGCCTCCTGGCAGTCCCGGTGGTAGGACCGCGACGAGGCTTCGCCCTCCGCGCCGCCTTTCCTCCGTCGAAAGCTCCAGGACTCTGCCTCCTGCTTGTCGTCGTCATCGGCTCGCGGACCGTCCTCCGCGGCGGGGCTAGATGTGGAGGTCGCTGACGGCGTGCTGGTGGTCACGTTGTCGGACGCCGTCACGGCGCAGGCCTTGGCGTCGCTCTGTTCTCGCAGGCGGGCAAGGCTGTCCAGGATGGCGTTGGCGCTAAGGACGAGCTCGCCGTTGTCCGCCGTGCCCTTGGAGGCGGCGGCTGCCCCGCCGCCACTGTCCGAAAACTTGGGCCCCTGCTGCGCGAACTTCGAGTTTTTCCGCCTGATCCGGCCCTTGGACCTTTTGACCGTGGGCGCCGCTGCCGCCGCCGCCTCAGGGGTGACGGGGCGGTCTGGGTTGCCGTCGGCGGGCTCGGCGGGGCCGCAGCTCGCGGCCGCCGCGTTGTCCACCTCCTCATCGTCGCCCTCGTCGGCCGAGTCCAGGAGCGCGGCGGTCGACAAGGGCCGCGCGGCGGCGCCCCGGCCCCTGCGGGGGCTGAAGGGCGAGGCCAGGCTGACGGCCCGGGCGACCGGGCGGGGCGGCGCGCTCATGGCTCATGCCACCGGCCCCTCGGCCACCTCGGCTCACGGCGGCACCGCGTCCACCTGCAACAACAGACACGTGCGCGATGAGGGAAGGTCAACACAAAACTGAGGTTAGCTGCCGCCATCATCGCATGATTCGATACGGCGGATATCCGCACGGCGTCAGCAGCCGCGTCGCGGTCGTTGAGGAGGGATAACAACTCAAGGCAGCCCAGTGCTGCTGCGCGTCTTTAAAATTCGCGATTGAAACACATCAACGCAGCGTAAATCTAATGACGCATCCGTACGGAAGCTGCCCGACACGAGAAGAAAAGACGGCACGAGAAAGGAACGAGCACCGCACGCCCATGGCACGGCAATGCGGGCGTTCCATGATGATATGTACACATTATGAGAAAGAGTGCAAGCTGAGCCTCGCGGGCACCACCACCGCAACCTCCTCCTCCTCCGCGCTGCTGTTTGATATTTTGCGTGCACATAGAGGCAGACACTCTCGCGCCGCTCGCAGCCGGCAACTTTCCCCCGCATCATTTACATATAACTCGGCGGTAACCTCTCCGCGCTGCTCGCGCGGCCCGGCGCGGTGCAGCGACGGGCTGCGCGGGGTTTTCTTTCCAGGGCTCGGGCTCGGCGTGCCGCTCGCCTCGCTCACCACGATCCGGCGATGTGGCGACGGCGGAAATGACATTAATGATAATCACGACGTCCCTCGGCTCGGGGCGCAAGCTCGGCGCAGGAGGACGGCATAGAGCATCTGGCCCTTGGGGGGGACCCTCCTCGACAACCAGCTCGCGGGGCTCGCGACGCCTTTAGAGGCGCCTCACTCGAGCGGAGCGCACCCCAAGGCCAGGTGGACCAGCCTAACAACAGGCGGCCCCTCCCCCACTCTCCTCTCTCTCTCTCTCACACACACACACATGGACACACGCAGACACCTTCGTTCTCACTGTGGGTGTGCATCCTCATCCTCTTGCTCCATATCCCATCTCACATATACACGGCGCACCGACCACAGATCCCCGCGTCAATGTCACGCATCACAAGGACACCTTACAGCTGAAAAGCGCCCCTCCAGGAGGCACTCGCACACACTGGACCTGCACCTCCCCTCCTCCTGGAGCACGACCGCCCGTTGGATTGTAAAAGTGTTGAAGGGTCTTCTTGCAGGAATCAACGGCTCCAGGAGGGGCTCCAAGGCGCTCCAGGGCACTCTGCCCGGCGGCCGCGCTGCACAGGCCGCGCGCTGCCAGCGGCAATAAGAAGAAATAACGCAGCGGGGATGATGCACTCTGCGTTAATGACGCAACAGTGAAGCGCGCACCCGGCCGACCAGGAGGAGGTGTAATTGAATTCAGGGCCACTTATACTTTGTCCCCCTTTTACTTTTGTGGAAGGCGCGGAGAAGGACCGACCTGCTGCACGATCGCGTTACGAGACGCCGCTCGCCGCCGCCGCCCCCTGCCGCGTCCGGTGACGCCACACCACCACCACGTCGTCGCTGACAGCGCGCCCCGCGCCGCCGTCCCGCGTCCAGAAGGGGATCCCCTGCTCCGCTTCTTTGCCGCGCACACCCGCGCGGATTCCCACAGGAAGCCGGAATTAGAGCCGCCCGAGCGAGCGCCGCGCTGCCACCGCCGCTGCTGCTGCTGGCGACCGGGAACAATGAGGTGGAAATGGACACAGATCTGGGTTGCATAAACGCGCCTTTCTGGCGCGCCAACTGGGCCGGGCGGAGAGGGGCCCCCGGGGGCCACCCCGGAATGTGTCGTGCAGGCCGCCTTCCTTCCCGATGCAGATGATGTGAAAAGGAGCAGGCGAACAGCCCCGTTTTGCGTAACGCTTTGGGAGCAGCGTATACACCTCCTCCCGGCCATGTGTGGAGGACGGACGGACGGGCGGACGCGCCCTGGACGCCCAGGTCAGGGGCGGCCTCGACCGCGACGCTGACCCAGTGCGGTGCGGTGGGCTCCCCGTTTTTATTTGCCCAGGGTCCTCCTCGTCTCCCCATTAGGCCGCGAGGTGACCGAGGTGACGCAAGGCGCAATGTGCGTCCTCGCGGCCGGGCCGGGCAGCAGCAGCAGCAAGGCGCCGCCGGCGCCCGCGGGTGACGTAAGCAAGGTCCCGCCGACAACAACAACATGGAGGGCTCCGCGCTGTCCGGGAGGATGTCGACGAGACTCCCGCGGCCCGTACTGCCGGGAGTGGCCGCGGGGCTCCATCACGACATGTAAGTACTGCGGTAGAAAGGGAAGTGCCGCGGGCGCGCCCACGGGTGTTGCGAAAACCCCCGCACCACCGAGCGCGCGGGGGGAGAACATAGAACGGCCGAACGGCCCCGCCGCATTTTTGCCAAGATATTTTTCTGCGCGGCTCGCCGATGTGTTGGCGCCGATGCAGTTTTCACTTTCATTCTCGAGTGCGTTGCAATGACGGGTGCACCGCCGTACATTATACTCAGATAGTGGTATAATAATTCCACTACTTCCACCCGCGCACCGCTGCGCCAGGCTGCGCTGTGCCGCCCGCGCCCGCCTGCGCGCGCCGCACTGCTGCCTTGAAATTTCCTGCCTCATATACCGTCGAAACATATCATAAACTCGACACAAGAAAAATACCGCACCACCAAATGACTCGTCCTTCCCTGATTGTTGGTGATGGTGGTTGGTTGCCCCCTTCCTGACTGACTCACTCGCGAGATGAACCGGCGCCGCCATCCGGCCGCCGCCAGCCGTGTGGCGTGCTCCGCGACCATCGTGCAGCGCGCGTTGAGCTCTCCGGCGGCGGCGGCGCCGAGCAGCGCGGCATTGGGCGGCTCACGTGTGCGCGATCACCTCGCCGGTAGCAGAAATAAAAAGTAAGGCCCCCTAATGACTCATCAAGCAGCAGCGGCGGCGGCGGCAGTGGGAGTCAGCACAAGGGATTCGCATGAGCGGGGGGAAAAAATGTTGAATAAAAAGAGACGAAATGCAATTGCGTGCAGGCGGTATATGTACAGCGTGTGTGTGGGTGTAAGTGGCCCGGTGCCACTGATGCCCCCGCAGGATTTGCAATTATTATTACAGAGCCCCTGCTTTTTGCTGGCACTGCTGCTGCTGCTGCACGTTTGGGAGGGATCCATTAGCAGATCTTTTTTTTCTTTTTGCAGCAGTGTTAGGGGCGCCGGGGGCCGGCGCCTGTGGTGTTCGAGTCCGTTACTGGCCTTCAAACAAATAAAAAACAATGATACAGGTAGCTAGAAAAATGGAAGGGCACCCACGACGGATCCCAAACCAAAATGTTGGGAATGGCTTCACCTAGCCTAATAACAAAACTTCTATGGGCCTCAGAATCTTCTGCCAATAAGTATCACAATTATCTGCTGGTACACAAAACTATACTTAGAAACATGTTTTTGTGAATGAGGACTTTTTTACTTAAATCTGCCGAGTAGATTCTTAGTCTGACTATTTATTTTACCAAGGTACAAATATATTAACCTACAAATCTATTTTCGTTCTGTGGCGCTTTCAGGCAAGGCGACATGTCCGGGTTCGCTACCCGGTAGCGGCGCAAGTTACTTTTGCACGGACGGACGCGGGCTGCTGCTGCTGCCTGCTGCAGGATCGCTTTCTTCGAATCACAGTGAAAGTGAAGCGATCTGTCCGCGGAGCAGTGCGTGTCGGTGGAGGGGGAGCCGTCCTGGCGCCGGCCGCGACACGACACGGCGGAGCTGCTGCGGCGCCAATCGCTCAATGGCATGACCGGCCGACATCTGTTACGTGGACTTGGCGGAGGTCCGGGCCAGGACCAACGTGACCGTCGCTCCGCGGCGCAGAAGGTCAGTCGAATGAAAAATCGGTACTTTTCTTGCAAAAACGCGCCGTTATGGATAATAATAATAATAAGCAGCAGGTCCGGCTGGGCGCACTCGCTGTTACATACGAGTAATATCCAACCCGCACGCCCGGCCCCGCCCACACGCCGCACACGGTGCACACGAGGCTGCTGCAGGCCAGTGAATTTCTCATCCGGGAGGTTGGCGCGGCCCGCCGCCCCAGCCCGGCGGCGCCCACTCCTCGCGAGCGCTTGCTTTTGCTTTCCCGGGTGGAATTAGCCGCGCGCTGCTGGGAGGCGATATGGCGATCTGCCGACCGGAAACAGCAGAGCAGCAGCAGCAGCATCACAGAGCGGCGCGGCAGCAGCCCCTCCCCGACTCATTTCCATGCCGAGTTTCTCATACATACTGACCGGTATGAGAAATGTTGAGGCCGGCTGAGACGGACCGACGAGCGGCGATGCGATAGTCATCAATGCGGATCACACAATGGGTCAAGGTGGTGGGTCAGGTCGGCGTGTCACTGCCGCTGCTGCTGCGCCTCCCGCGGCCCGTGACGGCGGAGCTGTAGGCAAGGGCTTGCGCGTCGTCGCGCCGCTGGCACCCGGTCCCGTTGCAAACGCCTCACCTTTTATCGCGCCAATCTCTCTCTCTCTCTCTCTCTCTCTCTCTCTCTCTCTCTCTCTCTCTCTCTCTCTCTCTCTCTCTCCCTCTCTCTCTCCCGCCCTCCCTCCCTCTCTCGCACCGTGACCCCGCCGCGGTGGGAGCGGACGGCTGGACCTGCCCACCCTTTGTTATGCCGCCCAGCGGCCGCCCCGTTCTCCCGTTTTCCGACGCGACAAAACGTCGCTTCCGGTCGCGGAAACGAAACGAACGAACCGAACGCCTTGCGGCGACGGCAGTTTGATGACGGCAAAAAATAAATAAAGGTGTCCGACCGACGCGCAAAAGCGCAGCGCGCAGCAGGGAGGAAGCGAAGCAAAGCGCGGCGGTGAACGGGCCTGCGGGGGGCCGGCCGACCGTAACCTTCAAAACTACGAAATGAGGAGGGGGAGGAGGAGGAGGATCGAGAGGAGCAGGAGGACCGCTTTGTGGCGCTCCACGCCCCGCCACGCCGCGCTGCACTTGTGCTGCAGTTCCGCGGGGACCCCCTCGCACTTATTTCCGGAGTCATCAACTCCTGCTGCAGCGCCCGCCGCGGGGCGCAAACCCGCGCGAGAAGCGATCGGGGGGCATTATTTTGTCG